TTACCAGAATGGCAATGCACACTCATATCATAGTCCTTCAGGAACTCCTCCTCTAGCGAAGATTCAACTCTTTCTGGGTTAAGACATATTGAAGGCTATTATGGTGTGTGACCACATCTACATGAACACCGTACAAGTAATGTCTCCAAATCTTAAGTGCAAACACCACTGCTGCAAGCTCGACGTCATGAGTTGGATAGTTTTTTTCATGCACCTTAAGCTGTCTAGAAGCATAAGCTATAACCTTACCTCGTTGCATCAACACACAACCTAGTCTGACTCTGGATGCATCATAGTAGATAACATAACCGTATGAACCCTCTGATATATAGTCAAAACAGGAGTTGTAGTAAACCTAGTTTTCAGTTCTGCAAAGCTTTTCTCACAATCATCTGACCACTAAAACTTAACCTTCTTCTGAGTTACCTTAGTCAACGGAGAGGCTATGAATGAAAATCCTTCCACGAACCTTCTATAATTGCCAGCCAAACACAAGAAGCTTCTAATACCTTTAGGAGAGGTAGATCTGGGCCACTGTTTCATTGCTTCTATTTTCTGGGAATCCACTCGAATCCATTCACTAGACACAATATGCACAAGGAAAGTAAAGATTTCAACCAAAACTCACATTTGCTAAACTTGGCAAATAATTGGCGATCTTTGAGAGTTTGTAGGACAACCCTCAAATGATTCACATGTTCTTCCTCATTTCTAGAGTAAATGAGGATATCATCAATAAAGACGATAATGAACAAGTCCAAATACTGTTTGAACACTCTATTAATCAAGTCCATGAAAGCTGCAGGAGCATTGGTTAGTCCAAATGACATATCTACAAATTCATAATGAACATACCTGAGGTGATGATAACTTAATCTGAGGTCTATCTTCGAGAAATGACTAGGACCTTAAAGTTGGTCTGTAATGACCTGGAAAATAAGTAGGTTGAAGTAGAGCCTTAACGTTAGGGTTAGTGTAACCTTAGGTTGATGTCTAGGCTGTTTGAGAACTAAATGGAGTAAGGTAGAACCATAGAGTTCAAACAAGGGCCTAAGCTAGCAAGCGAGAGTGAAAGAGAACTTGTTCCTTGATGGACCTAGTTGGCGATTGGGAAGCATGATCGCCCAAGTGACTTGGCTATGTGCGAAAGTGCACTTGGGATCGCTTAGTGGGCTGTCTCCTTGTCCTAGGTTCTAGAGAAAAGGGCGAGCTATGTCTTTGTTTGCCGGTTGGGTTGGCGATTCACCCAATAGACCACCCCCATGGCCTAGTGAGCTTCCTATTTAGGGAGTCTATTGGAAATTTAGGCTAGCCAAGGGCCCATTAGGCAAGTCATCTAGTGCCCTTGGCGAGCCAAGGGGTGCAAAGGGCAAGCCAAGTCGTCGTGGTTAGCAAACTTTAAGTTAAAACTTTAAGGGTCCTTAGTTCGTTTCCAAAGATGAGTCCACATTATTTTATTACTTCCCTAGAAAGTATATAACCTTTTTAGACTTGAAATTCCTTCAATTAATTCACTTTTTAAGAAAACCCAAATCAAATCAAAAGAGTTCTTCCTCTGAATATTTCTCTCTCTAGCAGATCCCAAAGAAGAAGACGAAGAAGTGGGAGCTAGGGTACGTGGATTCAAGGTGTTCTTCCTCAAATTTCTTGGGGATTCACAAGCAAGGTATGGTGATCCTTCATCTAGGGGTAGCTTTCACCCCTAGATTCCATTCAAAAGTATATTTCAAAGATTTCAAGTTTCTCTAAAACCTAGAGTTTTACTCTAAATCATGTGTTCCATCTTCAAACGTTTTGAAAGGTTGTTTAATGAAAAATTATGATTGAATTAGTGTTTAATTGATGATTTTTGATGAAAATACTCTAAGAACCCATGAATTTCCTCAATTACTAAATTGTGCCTTTATGAAGTGAGTTTGTTGATTATGAAAGCATGTGAATAGACTATGTCAAAATTGCTTTAGTATATTGAAATGTATCATTATCCATGCCTTAATTGTAGTAAATTGTTGGTGTGTTGGTGATTTGAGATTCATGGCCTTGAAGGACATAGTATGAGGAATTGAGTTATTATCATGATGTCTTGTATATGAATGTGAATCTAATGAAGGTAAAGCGATCATGTCTTAAATGTAATTGTGTTATATTTGAAAGGATATATCTCAATTTGACACTTATGAATGTTGATGTTAGAATGTGAAGGATTTTTCAATGTGTAGTATATGTTGAATTGGAAGGCATATGCATCCTTTTCTTATATAAATGAATGTATTGTTGATTGTTGAATCTTGGATCAGTAGGCTAATGGCACCCTTCCACACATGTTAATAATGAACCTTGGGATCGGTAGGCTTATGGCACCCTTCCATAAATATGTTAATGAACTTTGGGATCGGTAGGCTTATGGAACCCTTCCATGAATGTTAATGATGAACCTTGAATCGGTAGACTTATTGCACCATTTCATGAGGATTCAATGAGCTTTCCTAATATACCTTGAATCGGTAGGTTTATGGCGCCCTTTCATGTGTTAATAAATTTACTTTGAGTCGGTAGGCAAATGGCACACTACAAGAAATAGCTTTATTTAAGACCAATATTTAGGGACGAGTTAATAATCCCGTCTCAGAAAGTACATATATTGGGATGAGATTTTATTTCGGTCTTTAATTTTATATGTTATTGTGAAGGTTCTAAATCTGGTCTCTAGAAAAAGTATTAACTCGTCCCAAATTAAAACTAATTCGGTCTTAATTAGAAATATATTGGAAGGCGGGAACATATTTTCACCAAAAAATTAGCCGCCTAAAAAATCATCAATCCATTAAAATTCTAAAAGGAAAAGAAAACAAATAAAAGACGCTTCAGTTTTTTCTCAATGAAATCAAAAAGAACCCTATAGCAGCGACCTTCCCTAGCTAACAACCAGGTTCCCTTACAACGATCTTAGTGTACGTAGCTCTCAACCAAAAATCTGTGTTTTCTCAAAACAGAGAAAACACAGGTTTTCCTAGCAGCAAACGCAACCCAGGTCTCATTGATCAGTGTTTCATCTCTGTTTTCTCAAAACAGAGAAAGCAGAGGTCTTCCTAGCAGTGATCTCTACTCAATATATATCTTCTATTCACTCGGATCTCAGGTATGCCTCCACTTTTATGAGTTGATTTAATTTTTCTGTACAGTTGATTTGTTGTTTGTTTTGTTTGAGTTGTAACTCGTCTTGTTTGAGTTCTTGTTCTCTAAGACTAGATATTGATCGTTTTCTTAAAAAAAGATTCAGTTTCGTAGTGTGATATGATGCCAAAAGTGAAGGGGATCGATGAATCCTTGAAGAAGTATGTGTTCCTAAAGATAAATAATAATGAACTAAACTTGAAAAGCAGCACTAACAACTCAATGAGCGAAAACAATATTAAGAGATAATATAGAGAGTGTTCTGTTCAAGTTGAGAAATCTGTTATGAACTACAAGTGAACTACTAACAGGGCAAGTGAGACAAGTGATTGCAGAATATTACAACTGAATAAGTGAAAAAAAGATAGTTTCATTTGGGTCTGAAACTGATGAAATATGTAAAACACAATAGAACTGATGCAAACTGACCTCCTTTGGTGCTGCACATAGAAGATTTAATGAGTGATAGTTTTGTTTGGGTCTGAAAATTGGAAAGCTTGATAACTTTCAAGAAGATGCATTCTAATAGTTGTTTAAAACATTCTTTGAATTTTTGCTAATTGGTTCTCTTATTTCTGTCTACTTGTATATCAGTTGTGCATCCTCTTCTGTGAGTTTTTTTCCTTCTCTAAATTTAATTTGTTGATTGTTTTCTTCTTATAGCATAGTGTTGAGTGTGTGCCTAAAGAATCAATCATATTTTGACGATTAAATTAACATGAGCTGATGAACGATGAAGAAAACAATAGGAAACTGATGCAAATTGCCTCTTGTATGTGATGTATATAGTAGGTAGAAACAACGATAGTTTCATTTGGGTTTCAAAACTTGGAAAACTCAAGATTTTTCAATAGTTGCACCATATTTTTTTCTGTTCTTGTAAAACAGAATCACTAGCTATTTTTGACAAAACTTTTAGCGCCAAAAATTTTATACAAAGAGGTAAACGAAAAGACCATCTGAGCTTCATCGATCTTTTTTCTACTCAAAATTGCAGCTGGTTCTAAAAGTTGCCCTAGTTTGAGCTCGATCTTAAGAACGCATTGCAACTGATCAAGGTTGTCACTCTGCCCTAATCTTAACTTTTTTAGCTTAATCTTGGCGTTCCTCTGCACTAATTGTTTCTTTTTCTTTGTACATTGCTGCTCTGCTCTAATCGTTTCTTTGTATCATTCAACTACAACTTTTCTCAAAACAGAATTCTCTGATCGAGTTGTTATGTTTATGTTTTATTGATGTCCTCTGCCCTAATCATTTTTTTCTTTGTATCAGTGATGCTCTGCCCTAATCGTTTCTTTGCATCGTTCAACCCCAGCTTTGCTTGAAACAGAATTCTAGGTTGGTTCGTCTTCTTATCGAGTTGTTGTGTTTCTTCCATATGTTTTATTGATGTCGTTTTTTTCATTGTTGTGTTCAAGCTACTCTTTTTGTTCTTCCTCTTTTTTTAGCAATAAATAGGTTAATAGTTTTAAAATCTGGTCTCTTTTCTATTGTAAGATTAGTGGGAAGATTATTGGATTGCAATTTTAATAAATAATTTGATTTTGTAAAGTGTATTTTGTGTCTCAAGATTTTTTTAACTTTTTTTGAAGTATAACAGCCAAGTAAACTCATTGATTAGGAAACCTGATACTGATCACTGAGAACACTAGGTTCAGAATATTTTAATTGAGTTGCAAGGAAGGTACATTATTTTAAGTGATTCCGGGTCAATCATAAGCACCTTACAGGCTGAATTCACGAGCGAAACGGTTGAGACACATTTGACACATGAAATATGATGTCCATGTGTCAAATGTTACAATACAACTTTAGGAACTCGTAAAATGGTTGAGACACATTTTCAAGTATATGGAATAATTAAGAATTATACTTTTTGGTATCACCATGGAGAACGTTTGGGTGAGCCATTGTCAGAATCTGAATCCGAATTTGAATTTACATTTGGAGATGGTGTTGAAGTAGAAGAATGTGAGAGTGAGGATGAAGTAGAAGAACTGTTGAGAGATTTATATCCTAATCTTGATGGAGGAACTACACACGCTGATGGTGATGATTTACTTGAGGAGGAACCAAATGTTGAAGCAAAAAGATTTTACAGCCTATTGAAGGATTTCGAGCAGCCACTATATCAAAATTCCAAAGCTTCAAAGCTTTCCTTGTTGATTAAATTGCTTCACATCAAAAGTATGGGTCGTTGGAGTAATGCTTCATTTACAATGTTATTGAAAATGTTGAAAGATGAGTTGTTGCCTGATGGCGCTAATTTGCCAAACTCATATTATGAGGCAAAGAAGATAATCAAAGAACTCGGCCTTTCTTATAACAAGATTGATGCTTGTACTAATGATTGCATGTTATACTGGAAGGAGGATAGCCAACTTGATTCTTCCAAAGTTTGTGGGGCATCTAGATGGAAGATAGATACAAATAGCGGGGAAACAAGGAATAAAAAAGGAAAAAGGATAGCATTAAAGAGCTTACGCTATTTTCCTTTAAAGCCTAGACTTCAAAGGTTGTTTATGTCTACAAAGACATCTACTCTTATGACATGGCATAAGGATAAAAGAGTTGATGATGGAATAATGAGGCACCCAACTGATTCAATGGCATGGAAGTCATTTGATGAACTTCATCCTTCATTTGCTGTCGAGCCTCGTAATGTTCGACTTGGACTTGCTAGTGATGGATTTCAGCCATTCCGAAATTCAAAAATCTCACATAGCATTTGGCCTGTGGTTCTTATTCCTTATAATTTACCTCCTTGGTTGTGCATGAAACAAGAAAATTTTATTTCGTCAATGCTTTTTCCTGGTCCAAATGGCCCAGGAGATGCAATTGATACATATCTTCAGCCTTTAATAAAGGAATTAAAGGAATTGTGGGAGGTTGGTATTGAGACCTATGATGCGTCAGCTAAAAAGAATTTTAAGTTGCATGCTTCTTTGTTGTGGACCATCAATGACTTTCCAGCATATGGAAATTTATCTGGATGGAGTACAAAAGGAATATTGGCATGTCCATGTTGCAATAAAGACACTTCATCAACTCGATTGTCTAATGGTAAGAAGCAGTGTTATATGGGGCATCGACGTTACCTTCCTCATAATCACAAATAGAGGAATGAGAAGAAGTCATTTGATGGTACAGAGGAGAGAAGACCCCCGCCACAAATGCGTTCTGGTAATGAGATACTTAATCAAGTGCAGGATCTTTAAGGGCTACAATTATCAAAGGATCCAAAGAAAAGGAAGAAGATATCACATTCAAATCGAAAGGATAATTGGAACAAAAAAAGTATCTTTTTTGAACTTCCATATTGGAAGAGTCTCTTGTTGTGACATAATTTGGATGTAATGCATATTGAAAAAAATATATGTGATAATATTATGGGGACAATCATGAATGTCAAAGGAAAGACCAAGGATACAATTAAAACTCGGTTAGATTTGAAAGAAATGAACATTAGGCCCGAATTGCACCCTATCCAAAAAGGGGAGAAAATTGAAGTACCAACTGCATGCTACACATTGTCTCCCGAAGATAGGCACAAGTTATGCCTTTTCCTAAAGAATCTAAAAGTTCCTGATGGATTTTCATCTAATATTTCCCAATGTGTGAACCTGAAAGATCACAAGATATCTGTGTTGAAAAGTCATGATTGTCATGTTCTTCTGCAACATCTACTCCCTCTTGCACTTCGTGGTATGTTGTCCAAAGAAGTGTGTGAACCTCTTATTGAGTTATCTTTGTTTTTTTGTATTCTTGGATGAAAGGAGTTGAGAATTGATGACTTGGAACATATTGAAGCTCAAATTCCCATTACACTTTGCAAGTTAGAAAAGATCTTTCCTCCTTCATTTTTCGATGTCATGGTTCACTTACCTATTCATTTAGCTACTGAAGCTAAGATTGCTGGACCCATTCATTATCGATGGATGTATCCTGTGGAGCGATGGCTGTATTTTCTAAAATCTTTCATCGGTAATAGGGCATGTCCGGAAGGTTGTATTGCAGAGGGCTACATTGCATATGAATGTATGACCTTATGTTCAAGGTATCTACATAGAATTGACACAAAATTCAATCAACCTGAAAGAAATGATGATGGGGGTTTAAAGAAATCTAATGGAGGTTTATCATTATTCTGTCAACCTGGAAAAACTCTGGGAGCTAAAACTCCATTTGAGCTTGAAGCAGATGAATTAGAACAAGCACACATATACATATTGAAGAATTGTGATGAAGTTTTACCATATCTCGAGTATGGAGAATTATTTCATACCTTCTCATTATTATTTTCGTAGGATTTTTTATTTTTTATATGAAATTTATGGTTCACTTCTATTTTGTAGAGAGTTTGCACAAACTCATGAAAATGCTCGCCACCTGTCTGATGTAGAATGGAATCGACTATTTATTGAATGGTTTAAAGATAGGGTGAGTAATACATAAACATAAAAGTTGAAATTTTAATATTGTAATACTCATTATAAATAATCATCCTAATCTTGATGATAGGTTGCACAATTGCATAAAGGAGATTGTAGTCGTATCATGGAAGATATGCTCTCGCTTTCACGCGGTCCTACACAATATTCGACGCATTCTAATGGTTACATTGTTAATGGATATAGATTTCATGTAGAAGATTATGATAAAAAGTTAAGGACTCAAAATTGTGGTGTCGTTGTATTGGGTGAGAATGATAAAGATAGTGAGAACCTTGATTACTACGGAGTTTTAACAGATGTGATTGAGCTGCAATTCGTCATGGATAGAAGAGTGGTTTTATTTTGTTGTAATTGGTTTGATGTGTGTGATGAAATAAAAGGAGTTAAGAAAGATGAGTATGATTTTGTGAGTGTTAATCCCGATAGATTCTTGAAAACAAATGAGCCATTTGTTTTAGCGGACCAAGCATCTCAAGTGTTTTATGCTAATGATAATTCCAACAAAGGTTGGCAAGTAGTGAGGAAGACTCAACCTCGTGATTCCTATGAGATTGTGGAACAAATGGATGATGATATTGTAGAGTTAGGAAGTCCTTCACAAAAGAAACGTAAAAGAACAAATGAGGTGAAGTATATTTTTATGAATTAATATATTCATTGTTACACTGTACGATGACATGATTTCTTCTATTCCTACATTGTCTTAAAATTTTGCTTATTACTTTTTATATTTGGCTCATTTTGTAGGTTCAAGATGAAAGCACTGAAGACTGAAAAAGAGGCTGACTCATCCATGAAGAGTACTATTATATATACATTTGTCGCGCCTGGTGCTATTGGAAAGGGACGAGGACGAGGGCTTAAATCTTTGGCTGAGAGAAGAGACTTATCAACTAAGAGTTTTGTGTCTCAATCTAGTGATCTGGTTAATGAGTATATGCAAGAAATTGAAACAAGTAAGATATTTTAAATAAACTGTTCAAAATTGATAGTAATAGCTCATATTATGTAGCCGTTGTTATTTCTTACAGCTTCTTGATCTCAAAAGGAATATTCTAAAGTATTAATAATATGATTTGTCTTCTCCATGTTATGTAGGGAAGGGTCGAGGGCAAAGACTTACAAACTCTAGTGTGTTAACTAGTCAAGGAATGACAATGATACCTAAGAACTCCATCGATCTTGAGAAAGAGAACAAGCAAATTAACCGTTCAGCTCATGCATCGACTAATCTAGGTAAGCAATACACCCAAGAATTCGAGACAAGTAAGATTTTTGAAAATTTGCTATGTTTTGAAATAAAATTTCCTAGTATCTTATGTGTACATTCCATTTGTATTTGCTTGGAAACTGTTATTGGTCTTGGGACTCGTTAAAATGTATCATACTTTTATCACTTTTCTGCCCTCAATCGAGTCGATAGTGAAAAGTGAGCCCTTGTTATATTTTTTTATATAATGCTCTGTTTTTTTTCTGTCTCAAAGTCTAATCTTCTCTTTGAGCCGTTGTTATTCCTTACAGCTTCTCGCTCTCTAAAGAAATATTCTAAAGTATTAATTATATGATTTGTTTTCTCCATGTTATGTAGGGAAGGGTAGAGGACAAGGATTTACAAACTCTACTTTGTTTACTAGTCAATGAATGATAACGATACCTAAGAACTCCATCGATCTTGAGAAAGAGAATAAGCAAATTAACCCTTCAGCTCATGCATCGACTAATCTAGGTAAGCAATACACCCAAGAAGTCGAGACAAGTAAGATTTTTGAAAATCTGCTATGTTTTCAAATAAAAGTTCCAAGTTTGTCTGTAATATCTTTGAACTATTTTCAGTTCCTTACTTTCCAGATGTAGCACATCGTAGCTTCCCAAAGAGCAACCACAACTTCGATCAGTCTTAAACTTCTTCTAGTTAAAGAAGAGGATGAAACATGCTTGATATGCTGAAACATGTATTCATATTTTCACACCTCTAGCTTATGTGCACAATAAAATTAGTAGTAATACTTACTTTTATAAATGTCACAATTTTTTCCTATTTCATGGCTGCATCCATTTTTTTCTCTACTTTGTATTCCTATGTCATGGCTGAAACACTATTCTAAAGTATTGGTAATATGATGTGATTTCTCCAGGTTCTACAGGGAAGGGGCGCGGACAAGGACTTAAAAGCTCTACTTTGTGTACTAGTCAAGGAATGGGAATGAAATATAACAACTACATGACTTCTAAATCTGAAGTGGGATGTATCAACAAGAGTGCTCTTTATGCTAATCAGCATATTAAAACTCCTCCTATAAGCACAAGACCAAATTTGACCATGTCGTCTAGTCAAGAAATGCAAAGAATGGATAAATCGATTCTTGAGAAAGAGGATATGCAAACTAATCTTTCATTGCCTCCATCAATTGATCAAGTTATGGAACATTCTCACACAACTAAAAAAGGTACGATATTTTTAAGACATATCTTATTAGTTTGTAAACCTAAATTTGATTGCTATAGTTTTTGCTAAATTATGCACCGTAGGTTCATCAAATCCTACAAAGGTAAGAAGAGTTCGAGGGAGCAACATGTGCAAAGAAGTTGCTTCACTTGAAAATGGAGAAAAGCTGAAAGTAACATTTTACAATAATCGAACTGTTGGAACAAATAGCAAATTGTTTTCGAGGCATTTGGGAAAAATTGTTCGTGACCGTAATATATGTCCTTTGGGAGTAACCTCTTGGAGTGATATTAAGCAAGAGAAGTTAAATCACATGTGGGCAGCTGTTGAGGTAACAAATTTAAACTTCATTCAAATCTTTCATTAACATAAGTTTCACACCATTCTCATGTGTTACTGAAATCTTATTTACTCTAGATATCGAATAGAAAAGTGACTTGGTACCTCTATCTAATAATATTTTCAAGGTGACAAGGATCTGCCTGTAATATTGATACAACAAATGTGTTATTGTTCTACGAGCGCTTTAGTCCCAGAAGTAAAAAGCGAGACTTCAGTAACAGCGGGAAAAAACTTTGTTTTGCAATTTCCCCTGTTTTGTTTTTTTTCTTTTTTGCAATATAATCTTTGATCTAATTTTTTCTTTCAGTTTTGTAATTCTTTTTCTCTGCTTTGTATTGCTTTCTCTGTTATGCTCAGTAACATTACATCAATATTCACAAAAGCAACAGTAACATTACATTGCTCTCTTAGGCAATATCAGTACAGCAGACCACTAAGAGTGTACTCTAATTAGGAGTGAGTTTACCTGTTGTACTCGACTTGCATAAGACAAGTTTTTAGAACCCCATGTGTTCACTCTACTACTCATCTTGTTAATTAAATCTTCACAATCAATTGAAGAGAGCCTCTTTGTTGTTATAATTATTCTAATTGAGCTTATTGTTTCACAAATACAGGCAAGAAGCATCAAAAATGCAACAAACCGATCTAAGTTAATGATGCTTCATCATATTGGTAGCAAACCTATTCGAGAGATTATTTATCAAAAGGTATTGTTAAAAAACTATTTTCCTTGATGGAGTATTTACGAGGTTTGTGTCGTTATTTGACATATTTGACTTTGATGTAAAGGGTGGGAAAGATGGCAATCCACCAGATTTGGCGTCTATTTTCTTTGAGACTCCTAAGAAAGATAACAAGCTTGTTGAACCTGAAGCAATTGAAAAGCATGTACGTTTGGTAAATTCAATAAGTTAATCTCTTGAAATTGTTAAGTGTTTTGATAGAAAATGTCCTTTTATATATTTTGTAGGCTCAACTTGAGGAAGTGGTTCAAGAAGATCCATCTCTATCTTGTATAGAGATTGTTGAAAAATGTTG